TCCATGTGATCCATTCTTGTTTTATTACTCTATACATGTAACCATCTGCACACACACCTCCATGAGATCCATTCTTGTTTAATTACTCTATTTATGTAACCATCTGCACACACACCTCCATGAGATCCATTCTTGTTTAATTACACTATAAATGTAACCACCTGCACACACACCTCCATGAGATCCATTCTTGTTTAATTACTCTATACATGTAACCATCTGCACACACACCTCCATGAGATCCATTCTTGTTTTATTACTCTATAAATGTAACCATCAGCACACACACCTCCATGAGATCCATTCTTGTTTTATTACTCTATACATGTAACCGTCTGCACACACACCTCCATGAGATCCATTCTTGTTTTATTACTCTATAAATGTAACCATCTGCACACACACCTCCATGAGATCCATTCTTGTTTTATGACTCTATACATGTAACCATCTGCACACACACCTCCATGTGATCCATTCTTGTTTTATTACACTATACATGTAACCATCTGCACACACACCTCCATGTGATCCATTCTTGTTTAATTACTCTATTTATGTAACCATCTGCACACACACCTCCATGTGATCCATTCTTGTTTAATTACTCTATAAATGTAACCACCTGCACACACACCTCCATGAGATCCATTCTTGTTTAATTGCTCCAAACATGTAACCATCTGCACACACACCTCCACGTGATCCATTCTTGTTTATTTACACTATACATGTAACCATCTGCACACACACCTCCATGAGATCCATTCTTGTTTTATTACACTATACATGTAACCATCTGCACACACACCTCCATGAGATCCATTCTTGTTTAATTGCTCTATAAATGTAACCATCTGCACACACACCTCCATGAGATCCTTTCTTGTTTTATTAAACTATAAATGTAACCATCTGCACACACAACTCCATGAGATCCATTCTTGTTTTATTGCTCTATACATGTAACCACCTGCACACACACCTCCATGAGATCCATTCTTGTTTAATTACACTATACATGTAACCACCTGCACACACACCTCCATGAGATCTATTCGTGTTTAATTGCTCTATACATGTAACCATCTGCACACACACCTCCATGAGATCCATTCTTGTTTTATTACACTATAAATGTAACCATCTGCACACACACCTCCATGAGATCCATTCTTGTTTTATTGCTCTATACATGTAACGATCTGCACACACACCTCCATGTGATCCATTCTTGTTTTATTACTCTATAAATGTAACCATCTGCACACACACCTCTATGAGATCCAATCTTGTTTTATTACTCTATTTATGTAACCATCTGCACACACACCTCCATGAGATCCATTCTTGTTTAATTACTCTATAAATGTAACCACCTGCACACACACCTTCATGAGATCCATTCTTGTTTAATTCCTATATACATGTAACAATTTGCACACACACCTCCATGAGATCCATTCTTGTTTTATTACTCTATACATGTAACAATCTGCACACACACCTCCATGTGATCCATTCTTGTTTTATTACTCTATAAATGTAACCATCTGCACACACACCTTCATGAGATCCATTCTTGTTTAATTCCTATATACATGTAACCATCTGCACACACACCTCCATGAGATCCATTCTTGTTTGATTACTCTATAGATGTAACAATCTGCACACACACCTCCATGTGATCCATTCTTGTTTTATTACTCTATACATGTCACCATCTGCACACACACCTCCATGAGATCCATTCTTGTTTTATTACTCTATACATGTAACCATCTGCACAGACACCTCCGTGAGATCCATTCTTGTTTAATTACTCTATAAATGTAACCATCTGCACATACACCTCCATGAGATCCATTCTTGTTTTATTGCTCTATACATTTAACCATCTGCACACACACCTCCATGAGATCCATTCTTGTTTTATTGCTCTATAAATGTAACCACCTGCACACACACCTCCATGAGATCCATTCTTGTTTTATTGCTCTGTACATGTAACCACCTGCACATACACCTCCATGAGATCCATTCTTGTTTTATTACTCTATACATGTAACCATCTACCCAGACACCTCCATGAGATCCATTCTTGTTTAATTACTCTATAAATGTAATCATCTGCACATACATCTCCATGAGATCCATTCTTGTTTAATTACTCTATACATGTAACCATCTGCACACACACCTCCATGAGATCCATTCTTGTTTGATTACTCTATACATGTAACCATCTGCCATACACCTCCATGAGATCCATTCTTGTTTTATTGCTCTATACATATAACCATTCTGCACACACACACACACACACACACACACACACACACACACACACACACACACACACACACACACACACACACACACACACACACACACACACACACACACACACACACACACACACACACACACACCACCGCCAGTTGTCTAACTGTGCATGTACTATGATTTAATGATACTGCCCACAGCATTTTAATATATTACTTCCACGTAAATGTAATAAATAAATGTTTAAATTGAGTGAATAGCTTAGTCAATCATATGTTTTGTTGAATCAATCCAGTTTGGGTGAGCAGAGTCCTTAACTCTGGCTCACCTCATGACACAACTTCCTACTTTCTGAGCAAACTCACTAAAATGTCCTATATCGGTCCACGTGTGAACAGGTTTCACACTTTCACACTAGCCAATGTTTTATGATCAATACTTAAAACAATACTACAAACATGTCACATCAGAGAAATTTTACCGGAAACCTAAAGGTCAACTTCGTGGCAATACCCCGTTGTCTGACAAAGTGTTCAAAGTTGTCATTTGTGCAATTTGTAAACCCCTCTCATCACAAAGTGAGACTGAATTATTTCCGGGTTAGAATTGGTCTTCAGCAACCTACATGTATGCTTGTCATAAGTGGCGACGATCGGGTGGTCAGGCTCGCTGACTTGGTTGACCCAATTGGGTGGATCGATGCGCATGATGTCAATCACTGGATTGTCTGATCCAGACTCAATTATTTACTGACTGCCGTCATATAGCTGGAATATTGCTGAGTGCGGCGTTCAACATCAAACAAACGCTATTCCACCGAGGCGGTAGATTCTCTCTGAACCATCACGAACAGATTGTAGCACCGTGTGCTGGTTTCATTACATAACGTGCAAGGTAAAACGATCTCAGGTATGTAAAAGTAGGATATATGTATCAGATTTCGAGAAATTGTTTTACTCTCTAATTAGTGCAGTTCTTGATAATGTTGACAACGTTGAAAATCTTTTAAATCAATAACACGGACCCTGTCATTACAAACATGCTTTTGGCCATTGTACACTACATGGTAAGCTATGCTAGCTACTCTGAAGACAATAAGGGGGAGGTGAAATGGAGTCCAAGATTATTGTGACGTTCATGCACGCGCGCGTGCGTGGGTGCCTGCGTGCGCGCGTGCGCGTGTGTGTGTGTGTGTGATTGTACTTGTACTCGGCCGGACTGATGCCGATTTTATAGTGCTAGCTCACTGAGATACCATGCCGCAGCTTGACATGAATACCCCACTCAGACACAGTATACTGACTCCGAGCCGACCAGTCCTTGTTTTAGCCCCTTAATGTCGAGCATCGCCATGGCTACAATGCATGCCTGGCATTGAACTCAGGAAACACCCTCCCCCGTATCCATCTGATTTGACAGACTGACAGCCCTGCTCTAACTTCTGGCAATCATTATGCAAATGATGATGACATCATCTCTGCGGGGGACATTGTACCAGGAGGAACCCCCTGCACCAGTGGATCCGGGCACTCCAGCAACGTTGGCAGAACCTTGTGGGCCTCGGAGGGAATTGTGTTAAAAAATATTCAGCAGCCAACTCCATCAAGGCGATCCACCATAGTTAGGCTGAGGTCATCCACCCCGGCCCTCTTGTATGATCTGAGACTTACATATTACACTGGGTGAGTGAGTGAGTGAGTTGGGTTTAACGCCGTTTTTAACAGTATTCCAGTTATATCGCGGCGTGTCAGCTTGGGAGGAAAGCCCGAAGTGATGCAGGTCTCAGATGTTTACCATTTCGGTGAAACCCACGAGCACGGGTATGGTGCTGACAAACCTAGAAACATAATCAGGGCGAACCGGGATTCGAACCCACAATCATAGGTTTCTGGCGTGCCCAAGGGACGCAACTCTGCACAGCGAATCGCGGCGCTTTAGACGACTGGGCCAACCGTGCCCCCTACACTGGGAAAAACGAGCTACGCATATTATGTATTTCAATGTAAAATAGTCATAAAAATGCATTCTAATTTTATATTTTATGATGAACACATATTTTTTTTATTTCAAAGTGGCATACTCGTATTGAAATATTGAAACCGAAATCAATAATAATGACATGCTTTGTAACTAATCACGGCAACAGTTACGTGAAGTTCCGGGATAGAATCTTCAGCAACCCATGCTTGTCGGAAGGCGGCAAACGGGATGAAGAGGTCGGTCTCACCGAGTTGATCAATGCATGGCATCGTTTCCCAATTGACTTGATCGATGCTCGTCTGGTCAAGACTTGATTATTAACAGACCGCCGTTACGTGGCTGGACTATACTGACAACAAACACACATGCATGTAAAGTGGTTTTGTATCAACTGCCCGCCTATCGCTGGTATCTTGGACATTTGTCAAAATGTGGATATATCAATGAGATATATCAAAATAAAGAAGGGGTGTCAAGGTATATACATACGTAGTAGACATGAAACACAGATACACAGTACCTCGGCGCATATTGTTTATCAGCTGTTATGAGTTTCAAATATATATTAGGTATTTGAGTGGATGTTTAATGTTGAGTGGCGGATTGTTGGTATTTTATGATGGATAGCGGAAGGCGGATGATGGGTAGCGGGTGGCGGATGATGGGTAGCGGAGGGCGGATGATGGGTAGCGGGTGGCGGATGATGGGTAGCGGATGGCGGATGGCGGATGATGGGTAGCGGGTGGCGGATGATAGGTAGCGGAGGGCGGATGATAGGTAGCGGAGGGCGGATGATGGGTAGCGGGTGGCGGATGATGGGTAGCGGAGGGCGGATGATGGGTAGCGGGTGGCGGATGATGGGTAGCGGAGGGCGGATGATGGGTAGCGGGTGGCGGATGATGGGTAGCGGAGGGCGGATGATGGGTAGCGGAGGGCGGATGATGGGTAGCGGAGGGCGGATGATGGGTAGCGGGTGGCGGATGATGGGTAGCGGAGGGCGGATGATGGGTAGCGGAGGGCGGATGATGGGTAGCGGAGGGCGGATGATGGGTAGCGGAGGGCGGATGATGGGTAGCGGAGGGCGGATGATGGGTAGCGGGTGGCGGACGATGGGTAGCGGAGGGCGGATGATGGGTAGCGGAGGGCGGATGATGGGTAGCGGATGGTGAATGGTTTATAAAGGCAGGGGATGGTGAATATTTTGTAATGGATTGGGGATGGTGGATGGTAATGATGGGTAGTGGGTGGTTTATGTTTGGGAGGGGATGGTTTATGATGGGTAGGGGATGGTTAATGATAGGTAGTCGGTGGTTTATGATGGGTAAGGGGTGGTTTATGATGGGTAGGGGATGGTTAATGATGGGAAGGGGATGGTGGATGGTTAATGATGGGTATTGGGTGGTTTATGATGGGTAGTGGGTGGTTTATGATGGGGAGGGGATGGCTTATAATGGGTATTGGGTGGTTAATGATAGGTAGTCGGTGGTTTATGATGGGTAGGGGATGGTTAATGATAGGTAGTCGGTGGTTTATGATGGGTAGTGGGTGGTTTATGATGGGTAGGGGATGGTTAATGATAGGTAGTCGGTGGTTTATGATGGGTAAGGGGTGGGTTATGATGGGAAGGGGATGGTAAATGGTTAATGATGGGTAGTGGGTGGTTTATGATGGGAAGGGGTGGTTTATGATGGGAAGGGGATGGTAAATGTTGGGTAGTGGGTGGTCTATGATGGGTAGGGGGTGGTTTATGATGGGTAGGGGATGGCTTATGATGGGTAAGGGGTGGTTTATGATGGGTAGGGGGTGGTTTATGATGGGTAGGGGATGGCTTATGATGGGTAAGGGGTGGTTTATGATGGGTAAGGGATGGCTTATGATGGGTAAGGGATGGCTTATGATGGGTAAGGGATGGTTTATGATGGGTAAGGGATGGTTTATGATGGGTAAGGGATGGCTTATGATGGGTAAGGGATGGTTTATGATGGGTAAGGGATGGTTTATGATGGGTAAGGGATGGTTTATGATGGGTAAGGGGTGGTTTATGATGGGTAAGGGGTGGTTTATGATGGGTAAGGGATGGCTTATAATGGGTAAGGGATGGCTTATAATGGGTAAGGGATGGTTTATGATGGGTAAGGGATGGTTTATGATGGGTAAGGGATGGTCTATGATGGGTAAGGGATGGCTTATGATGGGTAAGGGATGGTTTATGATGGGTAAGGGATGGTTTATGATGGGTAAGGGATGGTTTATGATGGGTAAGGGGTGGTTTATGATGGGTAAGGGATGGTTTATGATGGGTGGGGGTGGTTTATAATGGGTAAGGGGTGGTTTATGATGGGTAGGGGATGGCTGATGATGGGTAAGGGATGGTTTATGATGGGTAAGGGGTGGTTTATGATGGGTGGGGGGTGGTTTATGATGGGTAAGGGGTGGTTTATGATGGGTAGGGGATGGCTGATGATGGGTAAGGGATGGCTGATGATGGGTAAGGGATGGTTTATGATGGGTAAGGGGTGGTTTATGATGGGTAAGGGATGGTTTATGATGGGTGGGGGTGGTTTATAATGGGTAAGGGGTGGTTTATGATGGGTAGGGGATGGCTGATGATGGGTAAGGGATGGTTTATGATGGGTAAGGGGTGGTTTATGATGGGTGGGGGGTGGTTTATGATGGGTAAGGGGTGGTTTATGATGGGTAGGGGATGGCTGATGATGGGTAAGGGATGGCTGATGATGGGTAAGGGATGGTTTATGATGGGTAAGGGATGGCTGATGATGGGTAAGGGATGGTTTATGATGGGTAAGGGATGGTTTATGATGGGTAAGGGATGGCTGATGATGGGTAAGGGATGGTTTATGATGGGTAAGGGATGGCTTATGATGGGTGGGGGGTGGTTTATGATGGGTAAGGGGTGGTTTATGATGGGTAGGGGATGGCTGATGATGGGTAAGGGATGGTTTATGATGGGTAGGGGATGGTTTATGATGGGTAGGGGATGGCTGATGATGGGTAAGGGATGGTTTATGATGGGTAAGGGATGGTTTATGATGGGTAGGGGATGGCTTATGATGGGTAAGGGATGGCTGATGATGGGTAAGGGATGGTTTATGATGGGTAAGGGATGGTTTATGATGGGTAGGGGATGGCTTATGATGGGTGGGGGATGGTTTATGATGGGTAAGGGGTGGCTTATGATGGGTGGGGGGTGGTTTATGATGGGTAAGGGATGGCTTATGATGGGTAAGGGATGGCTGATGATGGGTAAGGGGTGGTTTATGATGGGTAGGGGATGGTTTATGATGGGTGGGGATGGCTTATGATGGGTGGGGGGTGGTTTATGATGGGTAAGGGATGGCTTATGATGGGTGGGGGGTGGTTTATGATGGGTAAGGGATGGCTTATGATGGGTAAGGGATGGCTGATGATGGGTAAGGGGTGGTTTATGATGGGTAGGGGATGGTTTATGATGGGTAGGGGATGGCTTATGATGGGTGGGGGGTGGTTTATGATGGGTAAGGGATGGCTTATGATGGGTAGGGGATGGTTTATGATGGGTAGGGGATGGTTTATGATGGGTAAGGGATGGCTGATGATGGGTAAGGGGTGGTTTATGATGGGTAGGGGATGGTTTATGATGGGTAGGGGATGGCTTATGATGGGTAGGGGATGGTTTATGATGGGTAGGGGATGGCTTATGATGGGTAAGGGATGGTTTATGATGGGTAAGGGATGGTTTATGATGGGTAGGGGATGGCTTATGATGGGTAGGGGATGGTTTATGATGGGTAGGGGATGGTTTATGATGGGTAGGGGATGGTTTATGATGGGTAGGGGATGGCTTATGATGGGTGGGGGGTGGTTTATGATGGGTAAGGGATGGCTTATGATGGGTAGGGGATGGTTTATGATTGGTAGGGGATGGTTTATGATGGGTAGGGGATGGCTTATGATGGGTAGGGGATGGTTTATGATGGGTAAGGGATGGTTTATGATGGGTAGGAGATGGTTTACGATGGGTAGGGGATGGTTTATGATTGTAGGGGTGGTTTATGATGGGTAGGGGATGGTTTAAGATGGGTAGGGGATGGTGGGTGGTTTATTGGTGGTGATTGATTGTTTTTAATTGGTGATGGACAATCGATGTGGATCATAATTGGTTAATATATTTCCTTAACAACCGTATGTGACCAGCAGTCAATATGTGTGATTTGTTGAAAAGAAAATTGATCCTAGTTTCCCCAAAACAGGTATGGAAACAGAACCCGAGATATTTCACATCTGGGCCTCGTGCGTCACTATCACATGAATGTTACTTAATGACATCCTGACTGATGGTGGTCTCGGGCTGAATAAAATAATTATTTCTTTTGTATATTCAAAGCGCTAATACTCGCCCTTTCAGTTGTTAAAACAGTACAATTTAACATCTAACCACGATACATTCAAACAGTGAAAAGAAATTTGTCACGTTTTATTCATGAAATGATCGCCTGGGAAAATATATTTATATTGCGTTCCTGCAAAATAAGGGGTGAAGTATTGATACAAAAGAACCACTTTTATCATAACTATATAACGAATTGATAGCGATACATGCTACATAATTATTATATTGCACAAAAAATATTTCGTCCCGGAAGTGCAACTCCATTACACGTTTCAAAGAAGACAACAATTAACGTTCTCTGTCCTTTTGCCTGTGCATAAATTATGCATATGAGTAACCGTTATGACCGGTTTTATCTCAAGCCATTTTTTCCTGTCAAGCGGGACATGCCACGATCGAGAGGGTTTCCCATGCGCGTTATTTATAGCGAGGAGTTTCCTGGAGCTGCACATGCACAGTAGCAATATACCAATAACTTCTTCCAAGTTTGAGGAAATCGCATAAAAATGGGTTTCAGTTGCATTCTGGCATTTACAGGTCGACAACACTGTCGTGGAGTTCCGGGATATAAACTGGACAGATTTTGTTTTTAAAATATGATATTAATACACCATATTTGCCTTGGGATCAACTTAACTGTTTTCGAGTCGAGGATTGCTTATACTTAATGATGGGACTGACGATAGGCAGGGGCAGACCATGGACTCGGGGCAGATAGCTTTTTGATGGAATATTTAAAACAAATACTACTTTCGGGGTACATTTGATATTCTAGCATTGTTTAGTAATAGTTTAGTATAAGTTAAACTTGAGATAAAATAATAACGGGGTAATTATGTACATGCATTTCGGATAAAGCAAAATTAAGTGATATTATAGTGATGGTTTACGTTCTTGCTAATATATATACTTGACTGATCTTTACTTTATTTTATTCATTGCAAGGTCTAGAAAATAGTGCGTGTATGCTTGATGATATTTCTTTGTTGATGTTGATTTATTTTATTTTACCAGTAATAGCCAAATCATTGTGAATGATATAATAAATCAAAATCATTTCTTTATACAAATGTGTTACTGTGTTCTCATTACTAGGCATTGTCAGATGTTGGGGGACAGTTGACGTGTTGCGGTCATGATGATCCACCACAAGAATGTACTCCATCGTCTTCATGCATAGAGTCATACCAACAGATGGTACTTGTTGTTACCCTGTCTGACGCTCGGCATTAAGGGGCTAAAACGAGGACTGGTCAGCTCGGAATCAGTATACTGTGTCTGAGTGGGGTATTCATGGTAAACTGCGGCATGGTATCTCAGTGTGCTAAGCTATAAATAGGCATCAGTTCGGACTAGTACAAGCAGCCACACACACACACACACACACACACACACACACACACACACGTGTACAACCACCTCATCTAACCCATGCACAGAAAGTGTGTACTGAACATTCAACAGAAAAATATGCGTCATCTTTTTAACGTGTCGACTTCGAAACTGAAACAGTAAGTTGACCCTGAAATCTGCACGCAAAAGAACTCAGTGTGAAACCAACAGACAACAAAGCTATGGTACACAATTAACAACTGTATTATAAAATGAACTAGGTTTACACATCAATACAAATTATTGCACCCCAGTGACAATGGCAGTACAAAATAGAATGCTGTACAAAACTCAAAGGCAGTACAAGTACAAGTACAAGTGCAATATCAAATACCGTAATAGTGGTTATAACAAAAAAGACAATAATAATAATAATAATAATAATAA